GTGGTGAGTAGGAAGGAGGGGCAAGCAGAATACACCTGCCCCAAGCCCAAGGCCCACAGCCACTCGGTCTATGGATTCAGCCCAGACCTGCCAAACTTCAAATTCCGGGCTCCTGCCCCCTCCCGGCTGCTCCCCACCTTGTGCTAGGATGGCCCTCTGGGCAGAGAGACCCGGGACCCACCCCCAGTGACCACACGTGTATCCAGCCCTCTGCTCTGGTTTCGCAGGGACAGAACCTGGGCGCACCTTGGTGCTGCACGAGTTAATTCCCTGCTCATCTCCTGCTTCAGTGCCCAGTTCTCCAACCTGTAGAGGCGGGGACCCTCCGCCAGGCCCCAGGCAGACCCTCCCAGGAAGTCCACTCCTCCCCTTGGGCAGCTGCCCAGCAGCCCTCGTCTGCGCCAGAGGAACTGGGGAGATTTGATTGATGAGAAAGTAGAAGTGAGGGTTCCCCTGGGAGAATAATTTCACTTTATGGGGAAGGAACACCGGTACGGGGAGCTCGGGCCCTAAACTCAGCAAGCAGGCGTCCAGGCGCAGCCAGGAACATGTGTAACTCATTACCTCCGCGAGCCTCCATTTGTGGCCAGTGGAGGACACTGAGTGTGGTGGAGGGTCTGAGCCTGCGGGGTGAGCTGACGGCAATATTTTTCTGACACTAACACCTCTCTCTGACCCTCAGAAAGGGCCGGACCCAGCCAAACACCACCCCGCCCAGGCCTCCTCCTCCGCCTCCTGGCGCCAGACTAGAGAGGCTTGTGGCTCTACAGGCAGCGAGCAAAGAAAGGACCGGGGAAGGTGAGAGGGGACGGAGGGGAAGGGGGAGAGAAGAGAGGAAGAGGGCGGGGGGAGCAGGCCCAGCAGGTCCCTGTTGGGTTTCTGTTCAGAGGGCGGTGTACGTGGGCATCGAGGCCAGAGGAGGCCTGGCTGAAGGACCTCGGAGGCCTAAAGCTGCAGTTACTCCTTCCCGTTAGTCCAGCAAAGCAGGTGCAACCAATGCGTTGCAGGTGGAGACATGGAGGTGAGGAGGTCCGGCCCTCGGGGCCTTCCCAGCACCAGGGGGCTCCACTGGGGATGCTGAAAGCTCAGACACAGGAGGGAGGCAGGCCCTGAGAGGTGCCCCCACCAAGGGGTGCAGAGAAGGGAGAGGTCCCGATGAGTCGCAGAGTGGGGTGTGGGAGGGAGCCTTGGGGGACGCAGGAGTGGGGCAGGTGGCTGCTCGTGGAGCGGGCAGAGGAACCCAGGCACTGAGCAGTCCTCACCTTCCCTGCTCGCCTGGTAAGTGGGAAGGGGATGGATAAAGGCAGGCTGGGAGGGAAAGGCAGGGTGAGAGGGGAAAGGAAGGAGAGCAGACCAGAGGAGCGGAAGCTGTCAGCACGTGACCTGTGAAGTAACGCGTTTGCCCCTGACCTCTTTAAAGTCCCACCTGCATTGAAGTCCAAGTCATATCCTATATCTGGGCTGTAGTTTTGCAACCGTGTTCCCCAGATCCCAGTATCCCCAGGGCCAAGAGGAGGTACCTCCTCTCTTCCCCATCTCCCTTCCTCCAAGGGAAGAATCTGGAAAGGACGTGGACCCCTGTGAGGCCCACCAGATGGTACTGTTTTAATTCACTCAAGGCCCACGAGCGACTGGGCTCTCCCTCCCTGTCCCCCCTCTGCCCTCTGTCTTCTTTCCCATCCACTTACAGCCCCCTTCCCACCAGCCCCGCCCTTCTCTTCCCTCTCCTGTTACAGTCTCCGGCGATGAGGATCAAGAAAAAGCTAAGTCCTGGGGAGACAGATCAAATCTGGCTGGAATTTTCCCAAGTCAGAGCCCATCATTTTCCTCTTATAAACAAAACGGAAGGGGATGGGGAAAGGAAAGGAACCCACAAGCTTTTAGGTAGCTGGCTGCATCTCAACACTCTAGTCTTTTGGGGTTCCTTGTGCCACCCCCCACCTCACACCTGGCATCCAGGATTGAAGAGCGGGGGAGACCCAGATGATTTGGAATTCAGATTTAGAAAGCATTTGTTTGGCTACCTTTAACTTTCAAGGACCCTGTTTTGATTGATTGATTGATTCATTCATTCATTCAACAAATATTTAGTGAGCACTTACTATGTGCCAGGCTGGGAGACATCAGTGAACAAAACAGAGATCCTGCCCTTGTCTAGTCTGTTCTTCCCATGAGAAACAGACAGTGAATGATAAACATAATCAATAAGAAAATGACAATGTAGCCCTAGCCGGTTTGGCTCAGTGTATAGAGCATCAGACTACAGAGTGAAGGGTTCCAGGTTCAATTCTGGTTAAGGGTAGCTGGCTTGCAGGCTTGATCCCAGGTTGCAGGCTTGATCCCCAGTTGGGGGCATGCAGGAGGCAGCCAATCAATGATTCTCCCTCATCATTGATGTTCCTCTCTCTCCCTCTCCCTTCCTCTTTGAAATAAATAAAATATATATATTAAAAAAAAGAAAATGACAATGTAATTTTAGAAGGACATAAGACTGCGAAAAAGGGGTCAGGAGTGCAGGGGAGGCAGGAAGGCCTACTGGGGAAGGTGAGATATGAGCAAAGACTGGAAGGAGGTGAGGGAGTGAGTTGAGTTTGTTTGGGGAGCAACCTTCTGGGAGCAGAGGCCCCTGGTGAGCATGCCAGCAGGTTCAACGTGAAAGTCAGCTTCCTCGGCCAGGTCAGCGCCTGGGTTTTTACTCCCATTGAGGCGGGAGCCTTTGCCTGTTTTGCTCAGGGTAGCGTCATGTCCCAGCTTAGGTTTTAAAAGGACCACACCCTACATGCAATGACCAAACCTTCTCTATATACGGAGTGTTAGAGCTAGACAGCACCTCAGAGACACCCCAGTGCTCCCACTTGGCAGATGGAGACACTGAGGCCCAGAGGTGGAATGTACCTTGGTCAGGTCACATGCTCTGGGAGAGGTGAGTCAATCTCGATCCCACATCTTCCAACCTCTCCTGTCCATATATTATGGGGTGCTGGGCCTCATGTTACCCCGGAGGAGACCTGCTCTGATCAGATCTCCCCATGGCTGGGGGTGGGGTGGTGGGGGTGTGGCTGGGGATACTGGAATGCACAGTGGCTAGGGTTACTGTTATTTTTTCAATCATCTGGTCCCAGTAATCTTTGTTTTTTAATTTGGGGTTCAGAAAAATGGAGAGTAAGATAAGGTACGAGGAAAAGGATATGATGGCCCAGTGGCACTTCCAACCCCAGGCCTCTTCTCACCCTGGGGTCTCCCACCCTGCCCTTCCCACTCTGGCACCCAGGCTGGGCCTGGTGGTCCTTCACTCGCCACCACTGTGCTGGACCCCAGTTCTCTTGCTCAACCAGGCCTCCCTACTGATGGGCTGGAGCAGGGATACGAAAACCAGCTTGGCCTTTGCTGAGGTGCTGGTGGGGACATGCTGAGCCTGGCCAGTGACCGAGTGGCACAGGGTCCTTCCTCTCTTCCCAGGTGGCATTAACCTGACGGAAACACTGGCCTGGCTTAGTGCAGCACAGCCAGTCATATTTTCCCCACCTACCTCTTTTCTTAGAAAGTTGTGTTCAATCTTTAAGGCCTATTCCCAAAAGGCGTCTCCCTGCTTGACTTCAACAATCACACGTATTTTTGCCTGCTTTATATGTTGGGTAATCATCCGCATGCCAGCCTCTTCCACTGGGATTGTAAGCGCTCTGAGGGCAAGGATGGTTTAATTTCTCATGGGAGTGTCCCTGGCACCTAACCAATAGCTTGACACACTGTGGGTTCTCAAAATAGGTTGGTTGACTGGGATCCAGAGGAAGGGATGTAATGGCGGGCAGTTTGCTAGGGCAGCAGGAGAGGGTGTATTGGTCACAAGCCCAAATGTGCCTTGTCCTCTCTCCCCTGAGCCTGTCCCCAATCACTGCCTTTCTAAGCCACTCAGCTTCCCTTCCTACACTTAGCACCTTTGGGGAGAAAAAACAGGCTTGGAGCATGAAGGAGAGTCATGACAGTTAATTTTGTGTTAACCTGATTGTGCCGTGACAGTGCCCAGGATAAACATCATTTCTGGGTGTGTCTGGAAGGTGTTTCTGGATGCGATTAGCGTTTGAATTGGCGGACTCAGTGAAGCAGATTGCTCTCCCTAATGTAGGTGGGCCTCATCCAATCAGTCGAGGACCTGAGTTAGAACAGAGGGTGGAGGTATTTGCTTTTTTGTTTCCTGCCTGACGGCTTGAGTTGGGACATCTCACCCCATGTTCTCCAGCCCTCAAACTGCTATTCATACCACTGACTCCTCTGGTTCTCAGGCCTTCTGACTTGGACTGAATTACACCCCAGCTCTCCTGAGTCTCCAGCCTGTAGATGGCAGACGGTGGGACTTCTCAGCCTCCATAGCCACGTGAGTCACTTCCTCACATTATATCACACCAGTTCTGTTTGTCTAGAGAACCTCACTAACACAGACCGTCTGTAGTTCACTGACCATAAGTCTTTACAAGGCTCTTCTGTGAGCTTCCTTCTATTCCTCTTTGACGTGGAGACGTCACTCTCTACTCAATGCAAAGAGAAGTGTGTGCATTCATGCAGCAATTTATTCAAAGCACCTACTAAGTGTTGAGCTCTGTGCTGGACACCCAGGAGGCAGGCTTCTGGAAATGGATTGTTGGCTCCTAACCTGAGAGGGCCCAGGCTAATGGTTTCAGGTGTCTTTGTCTGACCCCAGTCTCACTCACTCAGAGGAGAGAGGCAAAAGGAGGCAGGAGACCTCTATGACTGGTGAGCTGAATTATCCCTCATGCTTTTCTCAGCCTCCATAAGCTCATCTGTAAAACTGCTCCTCATCTTGCTGATCACCAAGAGTTGTTGAGATGTATGAATGAGAAGACACTTGGAAATGACCCTTCACAGCATGAAGTTCAACATATGCAGTATGGGCAGGAGGTCACCCGCACCCTGGGGCAATGCCAAGGTTGGGTGTGGGGCTCAGGGCAGATCTCTCACCCCAAGACCGAGCCGCGGGCACTCACCATCCTCACACAGGTTCAGCTTGGACAGGCTCCTGCCATCGAAGGGCTCCTCGAAGATGGAGCCGGTGTCGCTCACAGTGTTCAGGTACATGGCTTTGTTCTCCATCCTGTCCTTCAGCAGCAGCAGGAGAGACATCAAGAGGCGAGGGGAGGAAGGGAAGAGGCAGGGGGAGAGAGAGAATAAACTGTAGGTGGAAACAGAAGCGAGTGGGTAGAACAACGTGTCCTCCCTGTGGCCTGATCATTGGCCTGCTGTCCCCATCCACAGGTGACATCTACAGGCTGCTTAGGACTCTCATCCCCCTCCCCGGTTCCCTCAGTGCTTCGAGGGCCAAGGCCCTTTGAGCCTTTCTGATGGTGGGTATCCGTCTTCTTTCTTTCAACAGCTCTCGGTGGGGCCTGGCACCCTGAGCTGGGGCTGGCACCCTCCAGAGACCTCTGACTTCAGGGCTGAGAAGAGGCCATAAATGAGCAGTTGCCAAACAACTGTCTTTCTCACAGCCAGAGGGATGGAGAGCGGATTTTGCTCTTATCTTTTTAAGTAATGAGATGCCACATCTCCTGCATACCCATGTGTGCATGCAACACACAGGTATGCACACACTCACACAAATGCATGCATGCACTTGCACGCACACACACACACACATGCGTGCACTTACACACACACGCACACGTGCATGCATGCACTTACACACACACACACATGCATGCACAATCAGGGTGTTCCCAGAGCCGTGCTAGGTGGGGCCTGGAGGAGCCAATTCTCCTGACTCAAATGGAGCAATTTCTGAGCCTCTGGAGCCCTGAGCATGTCAGAGAGACATGGGTTTCTACTCTGTGTTAAAAGGAGGGAAGCTAGACACAAAGGCAGGTACGGAGACCACCTGCCAACAGAGCTAAGACCAGAACTACTCCCAACCTGGCTGGGCTGGTGGTGAGAGGAGCTGGGTTTAGTGGGGCCACGGGATGCTGAGGAGCAGGTGGCCTCGGTGGGGCCCCCCAGACACAAGGACCTGGACAACCTTGCACCCAGGAAGGGCCCTGGTCCTGCATGGCCTCCTGAGGCTGCATCACGGGGCCTTGAGGTCCTACCCCTGGTGTCCCAGGAACATACCCGGAACTAGAGAACGTGCTCTGCTGTTTGAAGTGAACCAGGCCCGTTTACACAAGTGTGTACACCACCACCCCATTTTGTAACATACACACGTCCTGCACATGTGACAGGACAACTGTATGTGAGGTGTCCGGTCGTCCCAGGTGAGACCTGGTAGATCCAGGTGTGTTGCAGGACTCTGGTGGGAACAGGGCCTCCTTTAGTTTGCTGGGTTTCCTGTGTTTTCTATGATGCATTCTTCGTATAAGGAGAAAATCCATTTTCTTGAGCCAAATTACAAAGTATTTATTTACATAAAATACTTGATATTCTTTTCTCACACATATGCTCAGTGATTTTATAAATGACTCTCTAGCTGTTCATTTAGCTTGACCTTCGTTCTGATGTTCTTTGACTCTATGGATATTGAATCCAAATAAATCTACTTGTAAAAAGTGATTTCTTAGGATGATAAAGGCTCCTGGGCGGACGGATGGGTGCCAGGCCCCGCGTGGAGCAAGCTCAGTTCTGAGGCCCAGAGTGCCAGCCAGGGGTCTACCACCAGGAAGGAGGTAAAAAAAGGGAGGCCACAGCAGGCGGCGGTGGGGGGACAGCGCCTGCTGACTGGAAGGAGCAGCCGTCCCGTGCGTTCCCTTCGGAGGCAGGTGGGAAACATGGCATCAGGACCGTTTCAGCCAATAGGGATAGAGAAGGAGGAGGCTGGCCGAACGGCTCCTTCTGGGAGAGCAAACGTAAATCTGTTTCATGACTTGACCTTTGCCTCCAGAGACCTCTGACTTCAGTGCCGAGAAGAGGCCACAAATGAGCAATTGCCCAACAGCTGCCCTCGGACAGCCAGAGGGATGGACTGTGGATTCTGCTCTTGTCTTTTCAAGTAATGAGATGCCACATCTGCACACCCATGTGTGCATGCAACACACATGTGTGCACACAGAGACTCACACACGTACATGCAAGTATGCACTCAGACCCATGCAGTCACGCACATGCATGCACACACCTGCAAACAGGCACTTATACACACATGCATGCACACACATGCAAACAGGCACTGACACACACACATGCATGCACACACCTGCAAACAGGCACTCACACACACACATGCATGCATGCACACACCTGCAAACAGGCACGTACACACACACATGCATGCACACACGTAAACAGGCGCTTACACACACACACACGCATGCACACACCTGCAAACCGGCACTTACACACACACACATGCATGCACAGACATGCATGCACACACACGCATGCACACACCTGCAAACCGGCACTTACACACACACACATGCATGCACAGACATGCATGCACACACACGCATGCACACACCTGCAAACCGGCACTTACACACACACACATGCATGCACAGACATGCAAACAGGCACTTACACACACACATGCATGCACACACATGTAAACAGGCACTTACACACACACACACATGCATGCACACACCTGCACACAGGCACTTACACACACACATGCAAGCACACACATGCATGCACACACGTAAACAGGCGCTTACACACACACACACGCATGCACACACCTGCAAACAGGCACGTACACACACATGCACGCACACACGTAAACACGCACTTACACACACACACATGCATGCACACACATGCATGCACACACACGCATGCACACACCTGCAAACAGGCACGTACACACACACATGCACGCACACACGTAAACACGCACTTACACACACACACATGCATGCACACACATGCGTGCACACACATGCATGCACGATCAGCGTGCTCACAGTCTCTGCGGGCCTTTCTTCCGGCCTGTGGGAGAAGGGGCGGAGGGGAGCCCACATCTCCGCCATGGTCTTTGTTCCCTGCACCCAGGGTTTCCCGGAGCTCCAAGACCGCTCCTACCCCAGCTTCTCTGGCTGCAGTTGTGTCCAGTTTGCTAGTCTCCCGATACCCTCCCTCCATCCAAGTCCTCCACCCAGTAGAGGCCTCTAGGTGGGGCCCTGAACAGCTCCGCTGCTGCTAAGCTGCGGGGGACCCTCCCTAGTCTCAGAGCACTGTGTGCAGCACCCCCTCCCTCTGCCTCCGTGGGGTCCCGGCGAGTAGCAAGCAGGAGGCCAGCGTCTTCTGCCTGTGGTCACCCTCTCCTGGCCAAAGGCAACGGCGCTGCTGCCCCGGGGTCGCAGGGAGTGAGAACCGCCTGCCGGAGGGAGGCGCTGAGACGGGCTTGGGCCGGAGCCCCATCTTCATTTTCACCATCCGCTCTGGGGCTCAGCTCCAGGCCAGAGCTAGGACGCACTGCTGGTTACGTGGGATGTGTCCGTAGGGCGCCCCCATCTCTGTTCCCTCCGCACCCCTCAGCTGGTGGAGCCGGAGCCTGGGGAACTGGGTGGGGAGACGGGCTGGCCGAGCAGGAGGCCAGATGTGAGTGAGATGAGATTGCAGATGCTCAGCCAGCTCTGCCAATGTCTGTTCCTTGGGAACGGAACCTAAGCATGTTCTTTCAAAACAACATTTATTTTAGACCCTTCCGTCTTTGGTCTTACAGCCTTTGGGCCGAGTTTGTGCTCTCGGGCAAGGTACAGCGAACCGCCGAGTGTGCGATAACAGAGCGAAGCCCCTCACGTGTGCATACATCCCACGCACTGCAGTCCATTTGCCATCCGGGGCCTCTGCCCTCCCAGGAGCACTGGGAGGTGGTGTCAGTCTGTCTTTCCCATTTTAAAGATAAGCAGAGGCATAAAGAGGCAAGAACCAAGGAGAGGGGTGAGGCGCCACGCAAACGCTTCCCACCCAGGACACTGGCTCAGCACCAGAGTGTTTTGCCCTGGAAGGGTGAAGCCACCCCTTTCAGCGACCACCTTTAGGGCCCAAGATGAGTCAGTTAAGGGGGGCAGGTGGGGCTCTGGGGGCAAGGAGAGGCTCTGACAGCTGGAAGGGAGGGGATGAGGGCCATGGACACATGGGGGGTGTGGACGCCCAGGTGCCCTGCGGAGGAAGCCCAAGGAGCCCAGACTTCCGTGTTTCAAGTCAGAGTGGGGCCTTGCTCCCCCCCAGAGAAGACACTTGACCTCTTAGATCAGTGGTTCTCAACCTTCCTAATGCCGCAACCCTTTAATACAGCTCCTCATGTTGTGGTGACCCCCAACCATAAAATTATTTTCGTGGCTACTTCATAACTGTAATTTTGCTACTGTTATGAATTGTAATGTAAATATCTGCTATGCAGGGTGTATTTTCATTGTTACAAATTGAACATAATTAAAGATAGTGATTAATCACAAAAACAATATGTAATTATATACGTGTTTTCCGATGGTCTTAGGCAACCCCTGTGAAAGGGTTGTTCGACCCCCAAAGGGGTCGCGACCCACAGGTTGAGAACCGCTGTCTTAGAGTGTCTTGATGGTGCATGTTAGAGCTGAGGCTCCCAGCCATCCACAGCCCCACCCCAGGCGCTCTGCAGGCCAGCAGGCACGGGGGCCTATCCTGGCTCCCCTCCTATTACTCGGGGACTTGGCCCAATCAGCCGAGCTCGGGCAGCCACAGGCCGACCTTTCTGTGACGGGGAGAAGCACGTCTGCCAGCCACTCGGCATCGAGAGCTTCATGTGGGACAGTGAACGTGGACGTGGAGGGGCTTTATGAGCAAGGGCACACGGGAGGTCGGTGGCAGGGTCTGGTGAGAGCCATCAGCCCCCAGCATCTTCTGACTCTGCCAAGCAGCGAGCTAGGAGGGCCTGCAGGTTCCTGAGCCTTGACAGTGTCAGGAAAAATGCTGTGTGGGTGCCCCTTGCAAAAGGCGATTGTGAACGCGGGCCAGAGCTCAGATCTGGACCCCGGCTCTCAGGGTCCCTCTCTGGGCCGCAGGAGCACTCGATCAATTCTTTCTGCCGAGGGGGTGGCATGAGCCTTGCTTGCTGCAAAGACGGCGTGTCTGGGATCCAGCGCCTCATGCTGCAGGGCGCACAGCTTTTCTTTGGATTTCTAGCCCTAACGGGGCCCTCTCTTGGAGAGTGGATCCCTAAGTGGGTTTAAACCCTCTCCTCCTATAACTGTACTCAGTTAACCTCAATCACAACCCAAAGCTGGAAAGGTGTAGATGTTTTATAAATAAGCTCTCCCTTCATATATATTCCACCACCAGGCACGTGTGCACAGACACAGACACACAGGCACATACACACACGCACACATGCACAGACACACATAGGCACACACATGCACAGACACACGTGCACACGCACACATGTACAGACACATGCGCGCATGCACAGGCACACACATGCACACACATGCACACACGCGCACATGTGCACACACATACACAGGTACATACACACATGCACACACACGCACATGCACAGACACACGCACATGCACAGATGCACACATGCACGCACACACGCGCACATGCACAGACACACGTGCACACACTCTGCACATGTAAGGAGACTGTCCTCCGTACCCTCTGCTCCCTGAATAGGCTTTGGAGCGGCGTCCCGCGCCTGGAATAGTTGTCCCTAAGGCAGTAGCTTCCTCTGGCACCCAGATGCAGACTCACAGTCGCCAGTGCAGACAGCTGGACCAGGGCCCCGTGGATCTCCTCAGGCTGCCACTGAGGCCTTCCTACCTGGGGCTGGCCCCTCCATGCTCCACAGCCTGAGGATCCCTGAACACCGTGTCCTCCCGCTGCCAGGTACTGGGACCAAGTTAGGGTCAAAGTGATAAAGACTCACCTTAGGGCCTCCACGGAGGCTGCAGAGGCTGTCCCCTCAGTTCCCGGCACCCATGGTGGCTGGAGAGGTGGCTGCTCCCACCGCACTGAGACCTAGGCAGCCCCTGGGAGCCTGTCCCCACAGCCAGCCAAATTCAGAACAAATCATAGAAAGAGGCTGTAGGGGTGCCCAGTGACTCGTCTTGGGGGTCACTTCTCCAGGAGGATCAACTCAGGAGGCAAGACTCAGCTTTGTGCCCGCGTGGAGGCCTGGGGCTGGGCAGCCCGGTCTTGGTGCCTCGCCTCGTTCAGCCAGGGCAGTGCTCGGGAGATGTCCTGTGGAGGCACCAGCAGCTCTGCTAGGTACTGACTGAGATGTGAACTGCAGCTGCTCTGGCGGCCAGTCTTTAAATGCGAAGTTTTTTGGAGCAATTGTGGAGGCCCACCTTGGGGTCTGGAACACGTCCCCCCTCTGGTGGCCACTTTCGGCATTACAGCCCACTCAGGGCTGGCTGCTCTGTCCAGAGAGCCAAGTCAACCTTGGTCTTCATGGGCCTATTCGAAAGGCCCTGCTCACAGTACTTTTTGGAAACCGTCCAGGGAAATGGCAGGTAGACCTGGCTTACAATCCATGCAAGGAAACCAGCCTTGTAAACTATCTGTAGGACAGAATTGGCATTGTTAACGCCTCCCCCAAACTGAGCTTAACATTACTTCATGTTTTCCCAAAGCCACATCCACCCCGAAGGCACAGATTGGCCACAGTGGGGACACTCCTGAGAGCACCCCATGACTCACAAAGTCAATCTCAATGTAACTCAGCAATAAAGCCGGCATTTATGGAGAACTGACATTGCACAGGGGCAAGGGGGGTGGGGGGGGGCGTGTTACGGGCGTGAGTAAGACAAGCTCGCTGTCCTCAAGAATGAGAGGTGGGCTCAGGAAGAAATAACTATAACCCTAAGCAGGACTGATTACATTTAGAAAAGGAGATCTAACCGAAACGTTAAGAGAGCAATAGCATTTCGATTGGGGTGGAGATGGGGGAAGGCATTAGGGAAATTCCAAAAATAGTCTGAGCTATGGCAGTACAGTCCACTTATGTGGACAGCCCCCCTCCCCACCCCTCCACCCCCCACTCCCCCAGGACAGAGCCCTGGAGATGGCATTTATGAACAGGCTCCCGTTCATTGGCTAAAACTTCAGCCTCAATACTTGGTCAGATCTCATGCATGAGAACAGTTTGCCAAGGCTCAGCTCTCGTCACAGTACAGCTGCCAACCCACAGCTGGGTCAGAAATGCCCTCGTCACTTTCAATGACTACGCCTCCTGGCCGTCCGGGGAGGCAGCTCCAACACGAGGCCTGTATCACAGAGGGAAAAAGTAGTCATGATATAATCATGATAATAATAATAACAGTAATAGTAATAACAGAAGGAGGAGGAAAAAGGAGAGAAGGG